CTATAATACACCCAATCCTGCTCCCTCACCCTACATACACCCAATCCTGCTCCCTCACCCTATAATACACCCAATCCTGCTCCCTCACCCTACATACACCCAATCCTGCTCCCTCACCTACACACAGCCATTCCTGCTCCCTCACCCTATAATACACCCAATCCTGCTCCCTCACCCTACATACACCCAATCCTGCTCCCTCACCCTACATACACCCAATCCTGCTCCCTCACCTACACACAGCCATTCCTGCTCCCTCACCCTATAATACACCCAATCCTGCTCCCTCACCTACATACACCCAATCCTGCTCCCTCACCCTATAATACACCCAATCCTGCTCCCTCACCTACATACACCCAATCCTGCTCCCTCACCCTACATACACCCATTCCTGCTCCCTCACCCTATAATACACCCAATCCTGCTCCCTCATCTACTTACACCCATTCCTGCTCCCTCACCCTCCGATACACCCATTCCTGCTCCCTCACCCTATAATACACCCAATCCTGCTCCCTCACCTATATACACGCATTCCTGCTCCCTCACCTACATACACCCAATCCTGCTCCCTCACCTACATACACCCAATCCTGCTCCCTCACCCTACATACACCCAATCCTGCTCCCTCACCTACTTAGACCCAATCCTGCTCCCTCACCTACTACACCCAATCCTGCTCCCTCACCTACTTACACCCAATCCTGCTCCCTCACCCTACATACACCCATTCCTGCTCCCTCACCTACACACAGCCAATCCTGCTCCCTCATCTACTTACACCCAATCCTGCTCCTCACCTACATACACCCAATCCTGCTCCCTCACCCTACATACACCCAATCCTGCTCCCTCACCTACTTACACCCAATCCTGCTCCCTCACCCTACATACAGCCAATCCTGCTCCCTCATCTACTTACACCCAATCCTGCTCCCTCACCTACATACACCCAATCCTGCTCCCTCACCTACATACACCCAATCCTGCTCCCTCACCTACATAGACCCATTCCTGCTCCCTCACCCTACATACAACCAACATTGAATTAAGAAGCTAAGGAGCACCCTAGCTGGTTTGGCTCAGCGGATAGAGCGATGGCCTGCGGACTGAAGGGTCCCAGGTTCGATTCCAGTCAAGGGCACATGCCCAGGTTGCGGCTTGGTCCCCAGTAGGGGGCGTGCAGAAGGCAGTCAATCAATGATTCGCTCTCATCATTGATGTTTCTATCTCTCCCTCTCCCTTCCTCTCTGAAATCAATTAAAATATATATATTTTTAAAAAGCAGCTAAGGAGAAACACTAAATACAAGGCTTAATCAACAATTGCCTTCTTTGCCTCTCAGTTTCACTGGCTCACTTTTCCCTTTCATGCCCGTCACTTACCCTCACGCCCACTGTGACTATGTGTGATCGGTTTTGTTTTTTTATAAAACTTGATAAAAAGTAGTATTTCAGACTGTACAGTCACCAGAAATACACAGTTATCAAAAATGCACACACTTCACTTGGCATCTCCAGCACCTTCAGCTTTCTGTGCCTGGTTTGTTTCGGCATCTCCATTTTCTGCAGGATTAGTCCCATCTTTGCCAGCATCAGCTTTCCCTTTTTTCCCTTTCGGTACCTTCTCTCCCTTCTTTGCAGGGGCCTTTTTAGGCTTGGGCTCTGGCTTCGGAGGAGCAGGTTTAGCTGATAACCGGGCGATCGGATCGTCTCTGTGGTTCATCCTTCACCTGGGCTTTATCTCCTTTAGCATCCCCTTCAGCCTTTCTCTTGGGCATGATGGCGATGGTGGCGGGACGTCCGAGCAGGACACAGGGATGCAGCAGAGCGCGGGGGCCTTGCTGGGTCCAGGGGTCGATCTCATCTCCTCACACTGCTCTATGATCGTTTTAAGTCCCCTCCTATGGGTGGCTGGCTATGCCTGTGTATTGCCCCGGGGCAGCCCTTTGGTCAAAACTCCAAAACTCCCGTACCAAGTAAGTGAATGCATTTCTCTCAAGTATACACTTTCGCTTCCCTGGCACTTTGGAAATGCATAGAAAATGACTCAAAATCGCCCTTCCTCTCTCACCCAGCAAGTCTAAGCCCAGGAACGTATCCAAAGGAAATAATTAAGCCGCAAAGCTTTAGTTACAAGGATGTTTACCCCTGCTGTTGTTTATCATCGTGAATAACTGGAAACAACTTACAGGTCCCTCAAGCAGGAATAAAAGATCCTGCTTGTCGGTCTACCTGGTAGGAGAGACCGACAATCAGTCACTAAGTCAAGCAACCAACCCCAGAGCTGAAAGTTAAGGCAGAGATCTTGGGTTGGCCTCATGTCTTCAGGGCCTGAATCTTATACATTGAGGGTGACATCATGAATTCTGAATGAAGAAAGTTCGCCCGGAATTATGAGCAAAAAAGGAGGCCCAGGGTCCTGGCAGGAGTCTGTGTGAGTGAGAAGCCTTTGGTGGGATTTTCATTAGCCTGGTGGTAAGTCCAGCCTCTAGGACAGCGGTTCTCAACCTGTGGGTCACGACCCCTTTGGCGGTAGAACGACCCTTTCACAGGGGTCGCCTAAGACCATCCTGCATATCAGATATTTACATGACGATTCATAACAGTAGCAACATGACAGTTATGAAGTAGCAACGAAAATAATTTTATGGTTGGGTCACAACACGAGGAACTGTATTCAAAGGGCCAGAAGGTTGAGAACCACTGCTCTAGAAGAAGAAGGTGAAAGAAAGAAGGTGAAAGAAGGCGATGTCGGTAGCGGTTTCTTGCTTCAGAGGCCACAGTTTACCAGGACTGGGCAGCATAGTCAGCAGGGAGTCCCATTCAAGGTCTAAGACAAAGACTGCCTAAGATAAACCCGAGTCAGTGGGGGGAGGGAGGGAGGAAACGAACTGCTTTAAAAAGATTTCAGGTTAGTTGGTACCCGAAGCAGCACACTCAGTATCCGAAGCAGAGAGGGCACTTCGGGGACCAGCAGCCTGGCTGTGGGTGGGTTCGCACTGACCCCTGAAATATCTGACCCCCATCTCCACTGGCACCAAGGCCGTGCACCAGCGTTACTGCCCTCTACCTTTCACTCGGGTGCTGAGTTGAAAGCCAGACCGGCTCTTCCTGCACTTGTCCAGTGCATCCACATCACATCGCTTTTCTCCCTCCCCTTTTTAAAACAAAGCAGGCTCAGCTCTCTCCACCTGTCAGATCAGCTCTGCGTTCCTCCCTGTTGCTCCCCAGCTCAGGCAGCGTAGACCTGTGGCCCATCCAAATCCAGGTGAGAGGGCCTTAGCACCTCTCCCAGTAACTGAGCCGTTTAAGGAGCTTGAGGAGCTTGGAGAGCACAAGCCCGCACCCACTCAATGCCCCAGAGCCCTGGCCCGCCTCTCAGCAGAAGCGCCCTGCCCGGAGAAGCCCTTCTATTTCTGACAGCCCTCTCCACACACTCCGTGCCAAGGGCGCAGTCCAGGAGGCCCGCGGTATTTGGGGTGTGCTCTCTCTCCCACGGCTTCTGCCCAGGCTGCATTCTCTACCACAGCCAAGTGCCCGCGGACTCTGAGTGTGGAGGAGGCCCGTGCAAGAGGTGGTCAGCCTGCTTTGCTCTCTAAAGGGGATTGGCAAGTGCAGGGAAAGGCAGTCTGGCCGTACACTCCGCGCCTGGGGTGGCCGGCAGGGAGGGAGATGTGAAACCGGACAGGAGCGACACACGGACTTTAGACAGTTTCTCTCGGAGGCAGCTCTTTAAGCAGCATGATGGCTAGTGGGCTGGCTGGTCACGGAGTCCCCAGTTTTCCAGGAATTCGTGAGGGCTTGACCTGCAAATCCAGCCTTTTCCATCAGCCTCTGACCAATTCGGACCAGGGACTCTCCGGGAGAACTACATGCGGAAGCACACGCCACTGACCTTGCCCTCCCAGCCTGCACTAGCTAAGCATGCTCACGGTGGGGACACACCATAGTCACCTGGGCCCCCATCAGGGCATGACCTTGAACAGGGGAACGATCCCTGGGCCTAACTGGGATGAAGAGGTGACTCTGTGTGGCTGCTTCATTCCCTCTTGTGCGGGGGAAAATGGTGAGGGAGGGACCAGCCTCTCCTCTAGCCTCGCTCAGGGGCTGTACTCTCAGCTCGGCACCCCTTAGCTGGGGGTGCTGAACCCAGGACAGCTCTCCACCCCTTGGGACTCTTAGGGGGCAACTGGCCTCCTCGACCTCTACAGAACCACATCCCCCTGAGACTTCTGGTGCTGTGTCCAGGCCAGATGACCCCTGTGAAAAGAGGCCAGGCCACCCTGGAACTTACCCACCAGCCCTCCTGTCCTTGTCACGGGGGTCCTGGACCATCCTCCTTTCCTGCACCCGGGACCCTGTCAGCTCACTCCGCAGAGGGCCTGGTAAGGGAGGAGGGGGCCTCTTGGCTCCTATGTGCCCCCTGGTGTCTCAGACACTCAGGCCTCTGGGAGACCCCTCCCCACCCCGAGCCCCTCACCAATGCGCGCAAGGCCTACTGCCCTCACTTCGCGGGGTTACTCCGCTTTCTGTGCGCGATGGCGCGGGACAGGCTTGAAGCCGGGGAGAGGTGGATGGGGTGTCACCAAGAGTCGCCCGAAACTGTGGTGCCGGAGCCGAGCCCTGCTGCGTTGGGGATGCAAGCCGGCCAGCGGAGGGCAGAGGCGCCAGTTACTTTGCGAGGAGAGAGTTAAGTCGAGTCTGGCTGGGAGGCCGAGGGCGGCTCTCCCCGCACACTCCAGGCTGGGACCCCGGGAAGCGCCCGGCCCGGCTCCCTCCCACCCCGGGCGCCACCGGGAAGTCCAGGGGACCGGGGACCGGCGCCCGCCCGCCCTCCTCGCCTCCCTCCGCGGCCGCGCCGCGCGCAGCGGAGACATTTAAATCTCCCCCTCGGGACGGCGGGCGTGGAGAGGCCGGAAAGGCGGCGGCGGCCGGCCGGGGGGCCGAGGCTGGGGCGGCGGCCGGCGGGCTCGGGGAGCCGCGAGGACACTCACCAGCGCGTGTTGTCGTGGACGTGCTCCAGCACCGCGTACCCGAAGAAGGAGCCGGCGGTGCCCTGGAAGCGCACGGGGCGCTGCGGGTCCAGGTTGTAGGCGCCGGCGGGGGTTCCCGCGGCCACCAGCGCCAGGAGCAGCGCGCGGAGCCCCCCGGCGCCCCTCCGCGCCGCCGGGCCGCCCATCCTCAGCCGACACCGCCCTCCCGGTGCCCGGCGAGCGGGGCGCAGAGCGCGCCGGCGGCGGGGCGGCGGGGTCCGGACGGCCGGAGGCTCCCGGGGCGGGAGCTGTGCGCTCGGACGCCGGGGAGGTGCGGCGCGGGGCGGGGGCGGGGGGCCGAGCGGGCGCGGAAGGCGAGCGCACGGGCGGCCGGAGCGGGCGGCGTCCTCGGTCCGGCCGAGAAGTCTGCGCGCTCGCACGAGCGGGTCCCGGGCCCGGCGGCTCTGGACTGCGGAGAGGCGCGCCCGCCGAGTGGGCGGCGGGACGGCGGGACGGCGCGGCAGCGCCCCCTGCGGGCCGCGGGCGCCCTCGCACCTCCGGGCGGAGATGGCCGGGACGGCCGCCAGGCGCCTGGGCCGCCCCACCTCCCCGCCGCGCCCTGGGAGGCGACCCTGATCCTCTCCGCGGCGGCGAGCGGTGCTCCGCCCGCCCTCCTGGGTCTCTGGTTGTCTCTGGTGCCCTCTCAGCCTCACGCTCACACCAGGACCACAGGAAGCCGGGGAAGGATGGAGGGTGTTCCCCAGCCTTGCCATCTGCTGCCCCTCACCCAGCGGTGAGAGAACCTGCAGGACGCAAGCACCATAACCGCCAGCTGTTACTGATGATAACAGTAGCCACGTGGGAGTGAGAAGAGGACCCCCACCCCCACCCCAACACACACACACACACACACACACACACACACACACACACACACAGTTATACTCACCTGGTCTCCTGCACCGTCCATCCCTCGCTGCAGTGCCACACCTACAGCCTCGCCTGGGAGCCAGCTGGTCCCACTCCAGCTGAATTGGAAGCTGAAGGTTAGGGGGAGGGGGTTAGATTTCCACAAAGTTCTTAAAAGGGAAAGTAGTTTTTTAAAGGTTAAGACCCACTGATCTAAAACACACTCATTTCCCCCTCGTGTCCTGGAAGTGGTATCAGGTGAAAATGGTAGCCCTAGCCTTTGATTTAACTAAATAGTAGCTTCCAAAACTGGCTGTAGATCGGATCCTCAAGCCATCATTTAAAAATGCCGAGTTAGCCCAGCCGGCCCGGCTCAGTGGTCGAACGTGGACCTATGAACCAGGGGGTCACGGTTCGATTCTCGGGCAGGGCACATGTTCCGGTTGTGGGCTCCATCCTCCCGTATGGGGCGTGCAGGAGGCAGCCAACGATGAGTCTCTCATCATTGATGTTTCTATCTCCCTCTCCCTTCCTCTTTGAAATGAATAAAATATATATTTTAAAAAACAGACTTACAAACACTTCTCTGGGTCAGAATCTCTAAGGCGGAGGCCCGGGAATCTGTATGTCAAACAACTCTCAGAGCCTTGCTGAGCAGCCGGGTTTCCGAGTCCCGCATCGTGCTCCTGGACCTGTGACTCCGCAGTGTGGGAGGAGACACATAGGATCTGGCCTCAGATGGGAAGGATTCCATTCCCAGGTCTGACCAGCTGTGTAGTCTTGGGAAGTCAATGACGCAGGGATGCTAATAAACTGATAAGCCTATGGATGGGCTTTTTTAACTGTAAAACCCTAAACCTCTGTTAGTTATTCCCAGAATCTGACCTCAAGCGTGAGCTGTTTCCCAGTGGCCAGAGTAAGCCTCCCTACAGAGCCTCCACCTGAAGTGTGTGTGTCCAGGCTGGCAGGACTGGGGGAGGGGGGACAGGGGGAGCAGGGGCACAGAATAATTCCAATCTGATTATACAGAATGCAGACTTGCTTCATGGGGACCTGCCTTTTGAAAATAAATAAACCCCTTGTCCAATTTTCTAACTGAAATGACAACCAACTTGCTCGTTCTCCCTTTATTCTCTCACTTCAAGAGCTAAGCTGAAGGTTTTCCTGAACCCTGGTGGCTGCAAACGGAACCACATGCCGAATCAGCTCACCTATCATTTTTGCCTTTTCTAGAATCTGCCGTCAGTTTCCCTCAGGCAAACTTGACTTCCTTCCACGGGTGAACATGACGGTTGAGAGAATCCTTGCCATAACCATGCAAAAGGAATCACAGACTTGCCCTCACTCCCTCCCCACCCCCCTGCACAGAAGAATATTAAGTCACCAAATGTCCCCACAGACACAGATTCTTCATAAGCCTTGAAAAAGTCTTTCTAGATTAGCTGGTCTATTTTTTTCCTCTTCCTTTCTCTGCCAACTACTTTTTTCTTATAAATCTGTAAATTCCTGTCTGCCTCGCATTATTTCCTAAATGCTTAAATACTAGGTCCAAGCTAGGTACGTTTATAAGGTGCTTCATGCAAGCTGACGGTCTCAGTAATCTTTATGTGTAGAATATAGTTTTTCATTTCAGAAACCTCAAATTATAGCGGAAAAATGCACACAGTTCTTCCAGTCCAGAAGCCAGTAACGAAAGCATTTTCGGGCCCTGGCGGGAGCCATGCCTTTGCCAGAGAGATGTTTTCCTGGAGTGTCCTTCCCCTCGGGTCCCACAGAAAATGCTGAGTCCTCCTTGATGGAGCTCCCCAGACATCACTCTCCTGCATCTCCCTCCGTTCCTCCTTGTGAGTGCTCCCCTCTCTGGGCTCTGCCTGAATGTACCTCCGCAGGGCACCTCAGTGGCGGTCTTGACCTTAGCAGTGACTGTGGGTGCCTGGTCTGCAGAGAGAGCTGTTGGGGGTGCAATGAGCAGGGCCGCTGCCGCTGTGAGCTGACCAGCAGCCCACTGCAAAGCAGGAGCATCCGCGATGTGTCTGACATTGCACCACACATTTCACAAGTCACTGTATATCACTTAAACCACACAACCTTCCATTGGAGAGCTACAGGCCAAGACTTGGTCTCGGTTCAAGGAGGTCCACAATCCTCGCCCAAAACTCTCAGGGCCAGATATGTTGCTGAATTCAATTATTGTTTTTTTTGTTTTGTTTTTTTGTTTTTTCCAGAATTTTCAAGAGTAGAGCATCATCACCATGCATTATACCACACCCAGCACATGAAACAAACATAGAAAGAGGTGGCAACGTGTGAATATTCACACTTGCGACCAGCAGAAGAATGCCCGCCCCCTCTCCCCAAAGATGTCCGTGTCCTGGTCCCCAGAACTTGTGAATATCTAACCTTACAAAAGGGACTTTGCAGATGTGATTAAGTTCAGGATCTGGAGACGGGGGGATTCTCTGAAATACCCAGGGGAGTCCAATGTAATCACTAGTGTCTTTATAAGAGGAAGAAGGACATGTGACGGAGCCCAAGAAGAGGTGTGAGGGCAGAACGATGGGACCACCGGCCAGGGAAGCAGGCAGCCCCCACACCCTCAAAGCAGGCAAGGAGATGGATCCTTCTGAAGGAACCCAGAGGCTCAGGAAGGAACTCAGCCCTGCCGGCCCACTTTATACTCTGACCTAAAACTGCAAGATGACAAATATGCATTGTGTTACGCCACTAGGTTCCTGGTAATTTGTTACCACAGCAACAGGAAACAAATACAACCCTAGAGTCGTAGTGTATCAGTGTGGGTAAGGTTTTGCCACCAAATGTTTTCAGAACATTTTCTACTTTAGAATTGTGAATCTTGCCTCACTTTCTTTAATTTAAATTCTTTAATGTTTAAAGTATAACATATGTCTCCTTTTTCCCTCGTTGACCTCTCCCCAGCCACTTCCACCCCCCAGCACATGCCCTCACCCACCTACGGTCTGTGTCCGTTGGTTATGCTTTTATGCATGCATACAAGTCCTTTGGTTGATCTCTTACCCCGCCCCCCCCCCCCCCCCCGCCCATCCTCCCATACATTACCTCTGAGGTTTGACAGCCTGTTTGTCCGCCCCCCCCCCCCACACACACACACACTCCCAGCTGGGGGACACTGTTGACTGTTAGAAATAATGCCCCTGAGAACATTCTGGTTCCTATATCTCATGACCACGGGTGAGTATTCTGTAAAATACATTCCTAAAGTTGGGATTCCTTAGTCAGGGAAATGCATATTTTTATTGTTTTGGAGATCACTAAATTGCCCTGCAAAGAAGTTGAATCAATTTATAGACCCAGTAGCAGTGCATGAGGACCCTGCTTCTGGGGGCTCTTTTTTTTAAAAAGTCTATTACAGTTGACGTTCAATATTACTAGTATATTAGTTTCAGGTGTACAACATAGTAGTACACTTTATATTGGGGAAAAATAAGGCACAGAGAAGTTAAGCAAAATATAGATATTAATAGTAACAACCTCATAAGTTTTTTATAAGAGTTAAGTAAGATAAAGGGTATATGGCACACGGGAAATATTCTGTAAATATTAACTATTATTCATTCTTTAGACTACATTCTAAGACATTTCTTCAGTTTTATTTTCCAGTTCACTAACTCTCTCTTCAGCTGTGTATACTCTCTTGTTTTACCAGTCCTTTGATTTTGTAATTTTCATAATTTACATTTTTTTAATCTAAAAATTATATGTGGTCCTTCTTTTAAAAACTGCCTTGTCCAGCCCTAACCGGTTTGGCCCGGTGGATAGAGCATTGTCCTGCAGACTGAAGGGTCCCAGGTTTGATTCCAGGCAAGGGCATGTACCTTGGTTGCGGGCACATCCCTAGAGGGGGGTGTGCAGGAGGAAGCTGATTGATGTTTCTAACTCTCTGTCCCTCTCCCTTCCTCTCTGTAAAAAATCAATAAAATATATATTTTTTTAAAAAACTGCCTTGTCCATTTTCATAGTGTCTTGCTCCTTAATCATACTTCCAACATCTATCTTAATTTCTTTAAATAAATTAAACTTGTTCATTTTCTATTCTGTCTCTGCTCATTCCAGTGCCTACAGTCTGTACGAACGCTCCTGCATTTGTGGTCTCTGCCTATTCTCTCTCAACAGTGGCTTGTTTCCTGCGTGTTATGTAATCTTTGGCTCTGAGTTCATGTTCCTTGGAAATTTATCTTTGTTTAGAATATGCTTCTCGACAAATGATTTGTCAGCCAGATATACTGCCAGTTGCCTGGGGCACTGCTGTTTTACCACAACTTTATCCCAAACTTCTGGCTTGGATTTTTTTCTGCTCACGTGTAGCATAGCACACTTATGGTTCAGTATTCTCAGAGGATACTTTTCCCTTTCATTTTATTTTATTTTTCATTCCACCAATGGCCAAGGAGGCCCAGACAAGAAAGACCTTTTACAATGTCTCTCTGTGGAGCAGGTGTTACCCAAGTCCACCCACAAAAGAGGTTCGGCTTCATTTGACCTCCCCAACCTGGCTGCACCCAGGCTTGGTCTGTTGTCCGCTGCCTGTGTGAGAGCCACTTGAGTCCAGACATGCCCAAGGTGAA